TGACAGAAATGTAGTTTATCTAAAAATCTATCAATTTGTCAGAGGGTTTTTTGATTTAGCTTGTTTTCAAAAAGTTAAAGTTTTTACTAATAAACATTGGATGCGTTTTACTGTCCGGTACTGTATATGTAATATCTTTTACTTACACTAAAATGACAATATTACTGACCCATTTTTCAATCACAGAACAACTCTAACCTTAATTTTAATTGTTTCATTTCAAATATCCTTTCAAGTAAGTAAATTTAAAATTGGTTCGGTAATATTGATCCACTTAATATTATACGATCCTATAATACTTACATTACCAAATCAAAGTTGTGCAATTATAAACTCTGTCGGTATAAAATGTAGCATAGCGGGCTTTCATTGTGATTGGATAATTTTATAGATCATCCCGTGATATCGTAAAAATTCATTAGTTAATCGAAAATTTAAACTTTAACTAGATCGTCACGAATAAAGAAGCTTCTACGTATAAAATAACTACCGTAGTGCACTGACCAAAGTACTCGGCGTGACAAATAATGCAGATCAATTTTTTACAATATTATTTATATGTGACATGTGATGTAAACAATTGTGTAATTCATGTGATTTTTAATTTTTCACTATGTAAAAAATCGTGTCATACCGGGTACTTTAGTCAGTGCACTACGGTATATCTGTGACAAAATTAACACCAGCAGAAATTTTTATCATTAAATCTCGATAACTTTAAACCAAAACTGTAACCTTGCCGCAGACAAAATTCTGGCAATCCAAAGTTTTGTAAAAAAAAATCCTAACATATACAAATCAAGAAAAAAAAAAAACAAACCAAAAACGAAAAAAAGTGAACCAAGAACGAAAAACTCAAGAAATAAATGTTTAAACTCTACTCTAGAACGCTAATAACTAATAAAAAAATAATCTGAACCAACTTTTAGTGCTTATTCCAATATCAAACTGATCTTTATTTTTATTTAATCATTATATGGTTACAGTGCCACTACTTCGCTTTAACTCTTCTTACGAATTCTATAAACCCTATACGTAACTCTCAACTTCATATTATTTATTATTAGCCTAGATTATACGTAGTCAAGTTTCTTTATTAATTAGATTATGAAAAATAATTTTTCACAAATAAAGACAACTTAAATTGACAAGTTTAACGATTTATTGTATCTATAGGCTAAACTTGAATATTCAAACATACCTCTCATCTAACTTCCGAATTACCTCGCGGTTTACCGAATTAATTTGACAATATATAAGGTAAAGCTTGAACTTTCGAATCTTTTTTGTCTTATCTTCACCCGATTCATATTCGTGGCACCTGTTGTTAGACCCGAAAATTTACCTAACAAATGATTTATCGCACGTGCATTAATGTAATACCCTCGCTAAGATCAACCCATTTGGATCATCTTATATTCATGTTGATAGTGATATTAGTGAGGGATCATAGTAAAGCTGCAATTTTGATATATAAAAATTTAGCTTTCAGGCATAACATTGTGATAGCAAATCGTTACTTTATTAAGACTTTAATATGATGAGATGATCTTCAAAATCAACCAATCATAAAAAAGCCGGCTATGCTATAAAATGTACTAAGGTTAAGTTGATTTTTTTCGTTGTAAATTCCTTGTATACTGTTAGAGACAAAATGACCTGCGAACGTTATGCCCGAATTCATCGTGAAACATGTTCACCCAGCCCCCGATTGAAACAATAAGATCGCAAATCATGCACCAAGCCCCAATGCGAAATTCCACCATCAAACCTAAAAAGGAAAGGTCGATTTCAACTAACCTGATTGTCAATGACCGTCCAAAATCGAACGATAGTTCAATTGTACCCTGTTTGGATAAGTGCGAGGCAGTGGTAAAAGGAGTTTGATTGTGGTAATGAGGTGGGAAGTTGATGGTAAAATGACGGCGTACATCTCTTTTGCCTTCTTTCATTGAAAAATTGCTAAGGCTGTGTAAAGGGGTAAAGTGTTAGTTCGAATAAGGTAAAATGGCTTAACTTAAATGGTAGATAGAGAGATAAAAAAGTTCGATTCTATTCTTCTCCCTTCCTACACATTTAATTCATTAATAAAGACCATTAAGTGCAACCCAAAATATAAGTCTGCTAAATACTCTTGTAACGTACCTCAATAGACGTTTTAGACCTCGCCAAATCGTAACCGCCTCACCCTTCTATTGAATAATGTTACGCGACGTATCCCTTGGCCAAGTGACAATCCGTCGCGCTCACAATACACACCAATACATTCAAATTTTAATAAACTATGTACGTTAAAGAAGCTACCGAAGACATCCCCTACCACGAGTATTTTAATGCTATCCCTTTCAACGATGATCGCTTTTGCATTTTGTCAAGCTGTTCCTCAAAAACTATAAAAATGCTGAGAAAAGCAAAGCGCATCTGAACTTTTATCATACTTTAAAAAGCATCAAAGACGACAGCTCATGTGACAGTGAAATCCGTGACAAGGCTAAAGAACTTTTGGACAATAAACAAGTAAGTATAATAAGAATAATAAATTTAGATAGATGTGATTCGTCCAGGTGCTTGTACCTATCGGATACGTTCTAATAGGTCGGCCTCAATCTTCGTCGTTGTCTCCATTAGTATCAACACCATCCGGGACATTCCCTCCGTCATCATCAACCGAGAACATTACCTCCATCATCTTCACCCGTAACATCACCCCTCCGTCGTCATCATCACCCTCTCCATCACAACGCTGGAGAAAGAGAATGCACGAATTCCTAATTCTATTTGTGATGGTAGAATTAGAAAATAAGGTAGAAGATATGAACAGAATGTTTTCCAAGAAAGATGAAGAAGTAAGTAATTTTTTTTACATCAAGGTTTAATATTTTTTATTATATTCTAATAAATTATCATTTGTAAATAAGGTAAATAAGATCAAGAAGCTAAGGCGACTAAACGAGATTGTTTTCAACAAACTCGACGAAATCGATGATGCCGTAGCCAAAGTCATATACAGTTCGTACATTTGATAAAAAAACAATCAAGCTGGGATCAAGTCGAGCGTATAAAAGTTCGAACAATTTGCGAGTTGGTTCCGAGCAAGATGTAAAAGTACCTCGAGAGAGTGTCTACGATGCAGAGATGTATAGAATCTTGCATAATTGGCTTGCAAAGGTACATAATTTTGAAGTGACCGGCCAATGGCACTTGGAACAGGTTTGCGATGATGAGTATCATCATCTTTATTGCAATCTTGCAATTACTAAAAATAATTCATCCAAACCTGTCGCGATTTTGGAACTCTTGGCAACGGCATCCTCAATAAACTTAAATAAGCACTTTGAGCAAGTGCTTAAATATGCTGAAAAACTTTTCCCCCTAGAAAAGGGGATTGTTCACTTTTCTCATGAGGATGACGTTGTCAAAAATCCATATTGGCCATGCGAAGAACTTCAAAAAAAAGGGCTAAACGTGGTACACTTTTGGCACGACGAAGATTATACAAACGTTCGGATGAGTTCTCGGTTTTTGGACTTATCCGGCAACCTTAAAAAGAAGTCATCGACGAACAAATCATTCCTTGATTAAATTTTTTTTTTAATTCTTTGTATTAACATGTATTCTTTCTTTAGTCATGGTTTCGTTTTTTAGTACTTTTCGTAGTTGGTGTGTTTTTTCATCACCGTCGCGTTATTTAATCCTCCTTTCGTAGTTGGTGTCAGCAATTGATTTAGTATCTTTTTTCATCATGTAATAAATCGCTCCACGATATCTTAGTGCTATTATATTATCTGGTTCAATTTCTAGCAGTTTAGTTAAAGTTTCAAGTGTTTTATCGTATTCGCCCATAAGGAAAAATATTTGTCCTTGAATAATTTGCTTTTTTCCCAGTGATTTGGTTAATTCACCTGTTAAATTAACAAGTACAGTCAACCCTCTCTAAATGCATGACGTCGGGGCCATAGTAAAAAATTTTAAAAATATGCATTTAGAGAGGTTATGCATTTAAGGA